AACAGAAGAAGTGGAAGGCTGATCAGATGAGAATGTTTTGGGAGACCCGAGTTCACCCTTCCCTTCACCAGATATAGACGTGACAGAGTCAGAATCTCTGGTAAAGCTATTGCTATCTTTTGCAGATTCTGTATCTGTTTCATGTCCTCTTGCCAGTCCATTAATTTCTCCCATAGTCAGGCATGGATAGACCTCCTTTGCCTGGGGCTCAGAGTTACATTCAAGGCTTCGATTCAAGCAGATATGCTTTGGCAAAGGCATGCTTAGTTGTCCAGCTTGCAATTTCCTTTTCTTACTCAAGTCTATAAAGCTTGTCTGCTTCATTCTGTCGATGTCATCATTGTATGTCAAGCTAAAAGCAATTAGAAAAGACACATGTTGTAATGCTTTTGGCTTGTAAGAATACTTTTAGGAATGCATTTTACCATACAAAAAGTATGAAAGCAAAAACAGACCAAGCGCAATAAGCTTTAAACATCTTTCTTATTCAGTAAGTGCAAAATACCATATCAATTGAAGTTGAACATAATTTGATTACCACAGAGCTGAGCAGAATAAAACCCATACAATGACTACCCTTAAAACAGATTCCTCTTCAATGGTTTGAATGATTAGGTAAAGATATAAGTTAGAATGAATAGAGACAAAGTGAATTTGTTGGAAGCAAACAGTCCACGTTTAAAATTGCTTGCATATATCCCAAGCTGTCCATGTTGCCTGAATTATACAAACTGTCCAAATCCATAAAATTGCTTGAATTATACACACTGTCCATGTTTAAAATTGCTTGCATATATCCCAAGCTGATGTCACACATCCTGCGAGCTTCATTTAACACATTCATTTCTTTATTTACAGCTAGATATGCCCGTGTGACCATGCCATATGCAGGGATGCCATTGTGAAAACAACCATCTCCAATTGGGAAAGAGATCCTCACCAGTACAAATTCTTAATTTCCACAATTTTATGACATCTCCATTTTCCGATCATTCAACATGGCTAAAATCGGACAATTTCACTAAAACTCCATGCTAAGTAATACAAAGCAGGAGCACCATACTGGAGGAAATTGACGGAAAGGGGGAAACCAATATACAAAAAATATATATACATGGATGATATGTTTGGTAGATGTTCTAAATAGAATTGAAGCGCACAGTAGACAAGATTATTGTAAAATCACTACCACAAAATCATCACTTTTTTCATCCCCTTCTGCCCCTGTCCTTTCACTTTTCATATACATAACGCAAATGTCAAAATTTCAAACAAACTGAGTATTTTCTCCATCCAGGAATGAGATCTATGAGTAATTTACTAGCCCTTGACATGTATTGAAAACATTTACACGATATTTATATATCAACTTTTGTTAGATAATATATTTGCCTGTTCCTAAAAGTAAAGTTAAACCCAAAATTAGCATTTTAGTAACAAAACTTACTTTCAAAGTTTTAAGCAGAGCCAAACATACAATAGAAATCCGAAACAGTCGGGTAAACATGAAATCGACCAGATTGAAAAGAGAGCAGTAAATGAGAAAACCCAGAACTAAAACCTGTTAATTTCAACTGGGCTGCTGACATCTTCCTCCATCGTGATCTAAAAAACTAGATTACAAGTGGGTTGGATTAGAAAAAACAAGAAAAAGACGTGAGAACTGAAATACGGATCAATTTCAGTAGAGTTCGGGGTGGGTTTGGAGCTATATGATCATCTCTGAGAGTAAGTTATGGTCCGTTTATGTTATCTAGAGAGAATGACAATTGTAATAGTGCAATCCTATTGTAGTCTAATCATTTCGTTAATCTCAAATCAAATACATGATTTTTTTTCACAGCTAAACGCATAATTATTATTATTATTATTTTATTGCAGCACTCAAATTATTCTTCTGTATCCATAAAACGGATAAAAGCATAATTATTCATTGACGACGGTATCCCGTAATCATATTTTTTTTTTGAAATGATTGCTTTTTCTTTTTAAATCGTTTGCATTTCACTCAATTCGTCCTCTTTGACTTTTCTTAAACATGAAATTGTTCAAAGCAGTCGTCCCCTTATCTGCCTATGTAAATGGAGGATGACAATTTGACAAAAGCTGCTCACCTATTGGAAGAGAGATCAGGAATCTAGAGGATTTGTTTTCGGTTCTTCAATTTCTGGATGCTGCCTATGTGAATCAGTTTACGCCTAATTACTTACCGCAATTATATGCTAATTATTCACTCTAATCTTGATTAGCCTTTTTTTTTTGTTGACTTAGGAACCTGCAACCGTTATCCACCGTGGAGCCCCGACCACCGTGAAGGGGCGAAACCTCGACCAGGAATGGCAACGGTTCGATTCAGACAAAACCATAACTACACCACCAAATTTTTAGTCAATCATACCATAATGCATCATAACCACGTAAGTCGGTTCAGTTCGATTAATAACCGCGAAAATAAATTATTTTTTATAAGTCCAACTCCAACCGTCAAATTGAAAAAAAAATTATGAANTTTTTTTCACAGCTAAACGCATAATAATTATTATTATTATTTTATTGCAGCACTCAAATTATTCTTCTGTATCCATAAAACGGATAAAAGCATAATTATTCATTGACGACGGTATCCCGTAATCATATTTTTTTTTGAAATGATTGCTTTTTCTTTTTAAATCGTTTGCATTTCACTCAATTCGTCCTCTTTGATTTTTCTTAAACATGAAATTGTTCAAAGCAGTCGTCCCCTTATCTGCCTATGTAAATGGAGGATGCCAATTTGACAAAAGCTGCTCACCTATTGGAAGAAAGATCAGGAATCTAGAGGATTTGTTTTCGGTTCTTCAATTTCTGGTTGCTGCCACTCACCGCAATTATATGCTAATTATTCACTCTAATCTTGATTAGCCTTTTTTTTTTTTGGTTGACTTAGGAACCTGCAACCGTTATCCACCGTAGAGCCCCGACCATTCTGAAGGGGCGAAACCTCGACCAGGAATGGCAACGGTTCGATTTAGCCAAAATCATAACTGCACCACCAAATTTTTAGTCAATCATACCATAATGCATCATAACCATGTAAGTCGATTCAGTTCGGTTAATAACCGCGAAAATAAATTATTTTTTATAAGTCCAACTCCAACCGTCAAATTGAAAAAAAAATTATGAA